ATTATTACATCACTGATTTATCAAAATAAGCTTTAAATTATCAGTCGTCATTACATTTATCATTAATTGCCCCGCACCGCACCACACCACAGCTAATTTCGGATGATCCTATGGATATCCGATAAAAAATATCCACCGGATCAAAATAGTCGGATATCCATCGGATTATCCAACGGATTTTTCAACGGATCCAAGCACTATAATAGAAATAATTATAGACTTTTTGTGCATAAATAGCTAAGTATTCTCTTGTTTCTAAGTAACATTTGTGGCTCGGTAAGACTAGTTTTTAATAATAATATATATAGGACATTTCATCACTTCCAATATATATTCAATTTTTTCGATTGTATTTACAAGTATGCACAATTCAATAATTGCATTGACTATTATACCAATTAATAAAATATACGCTTCTTCTGTTTATTTTTTCTTTGATTTTTTGTATCCCCAATTAGTTTAAATTTAGCTCGATGGTTTTGAAGTTCAGATGACTCGGAAATAGAGGCATTTGCTTATGATTATAATATACAATATTACTGTGTTGAAGTTATTTAAATTGCATTTGTACACACTCTCATAATTGCTATAAATTTGTTTCATTGCCTATTTCACTAGCATTTATCTCCTAGTTTGTAGAATTTCTTTTGAAAAGAGAATGGTATTCGTAATAACCCAAATAACGGTCATACCAGTTGCTATATGTATATCAAATGTATATTATCGTTCTCTATACAAAAATAATATAAATTGAGAGGCATGCTCTTTGACTAAAAGGCATGCCCCTATCATGTGGTATAGAGCTATTATAATTGGCCAATTATAATTAAAGCCTACTATTGCTAATTACAATAATATCGAGTGTTTGATAAGTCTCTGTACAGGTCCTTTTTTTAAATCACTAATATACTATATAAAAAAAAACGCAATGATTAATAATCGTTATATAATAAAAACTAAATACTAGTGGAAAAAAACGATTTACATAAGGTTCGTTTTTAGATACGGTACTCAACCAATTTTTTTTAACTCCAAGATCAGCATTGCCGATAGTATTTTTGCGTACAAGTAACGGTAATCAAAACTTTGCTTTATATTAAAAATTATCACGTGAACCAAATGACCTAGGGTAGTTTGGTCACTACACCAAGTCATGGGGTATTTTTATTACGAATCTTTGATTATAGATAAAAATACTATTAAAATCTTATGTCATTATAATCAGCGTGGAAATAATCGTTCAAAAAGTCTGGATTGGGCAAAAAAAGGCAGGCTTATAAAAGTAGGATTTGAAAGTTGCACACCGTTTGATGAGTTGGCAAGGCTACAAGCACGTATTAAGAAGTATCAAATTCTGAAATTTTTAATCACGACTTAAAGTGACGCACGCGTTTTATACTTACGTACTGAACCCCTCTTTTTTTATCCATCTTCCATTTAATTTTCTAGCAGTTCTAGCATTTGTCTTTGTACGTTGGCCTCTAACAGGATATCCCATTACGTGCCTTTTACCTTTGTAAGTACCGATTGATCTATGATGCATAATATTATTTATTACTTCTCTTTTTAAATCGGTTTCTATTTTCATATTGGATAATTCCAAAGAAATTTGTTGAATTTGTAATTCTGATAGTTCATGAAGCCTGCACGTCTTATGAATTGAAAATTTACTACAAATTCGTTGAGCCGTTTTATGACCTATACCGTAGAAGTATGTTAATGCTACCTGTTTGTAACGTAAAGGAGGAGGTTAGGACTATTATCTGCAAATATTAACAAATAAATAAATTATTATTACAAGTACCCTAACAATTTTATTTTCGGGCAAATTGACGCCAAGAAGATGAAGCACCATCGTTCACATAGGATGAATAGATGAATACGTACAAAATGTACGATAAATTTTTAAAATTAATAGATGCTTGATTGCTACTGGCTGCCTTCTGCGTTACATTATGTATAAAATAAGCCATTTTCAAGATTTCCGGCTCAGGTGTAACGTGAAAATCACGATTTGTTATACTTTTTTGTACTTACCAAACTAATCAAAGCTAATCTAATCCCAATGGTAAGTCAAAATCACGTGAACTATTAAATGGTTGAGACCTAAACATATCCTACTTTTTACTAACCTTCACTATAACAACGTGCAACCTTATTGGTTAATTTTAGGATATGTTTAGATATATCAAAAAGGTAGGTGTAGAAGTATCAAAGATGTATGTTTTGCGAGCACAACATTTCACAATAATAGGTGTAAAAGTATCAAAAATGTATGTTTTGTGGAATTGCTACTTATGAGCACAACATTTCACAATAGTGACATTGCTAAAATACACTTACCAATGTTGTGCAACTACCCCAGTTATATATGCTGGCCAAATCCGAACAAATTCCAAACTTCTAAAAAATAATTGCTAATTATAAAAAATTAAATCAAACAAATAATTTTAAAATTTTATAAATATATTCTTTAGGGATCTGCAACCCGGGTTCGTGTCTATGCCTAACAAAAATTCAGGCATGGGCATGAACATAAAAGCTTTGGCATGGGCATAAATGCTAATATAAAAATTTGGCATAGGCATAGGCACAGGCACAAAAATTTGGCATAGACATAAGCACAGGCATGAAAACTTGGCATGGGCATGGGCACAAAAATTTAGTATTTATTAATTAATTATATGTTTGGTACTATTTGGCACTTGTGTCTGGCATTTTTTGGCATCTTTTTGCCTAGCATTAGGGTCCAGAATGGGCCGGGTTGGGTGGGCTTCAATAGGGCCCATACTTAGGCACGCAAAATATTTATGAGCCCAAGCCCGGCCC